GAAGATGTCTCTTCAGAACTTTAAGCCTCATCATTGAATGCCACTCAGTGTCAGTATCCATGTTTTACCTTCTCTGTGAGATACAATAGCTTTGTCTTTGGTTTCCTTAGTACCTAGTATAACGCCCTGCAAAGAGCAGGTGTGTAATTAAGATTTTGTAAAAGGACAAAAGTAATGTTAATTCTTGACCCAATGTGCCCCCCCACTAAGCCCTAGCAAATATTATAATTATATTATAATTCAATCACTATAATACCTACTCTTTGCATGATATATTTCATCCCAGTACTTTCCTATGGGTGTATAATGTAAAGCATTCAGTCGTTTCATATTTTCTTGATTTTAAAAAGTTAGAGGAGATAAAATTAATTTTAATAATACTTTTCATTTAACTCAGTATACCTAAACCACTGTCATTTTGCAATATAATCAACACAAGATCATTATGAAGACACTACCTCTTTCTGCACTGTCTTTAAAATCTAATGCGAATTTTAACAATTATCATATACTTCAATTTGGACTAGTCACATGCCATGTACTCCATAGCCACATGTAGTGGCAACTGTATTAAAAATACAACTTTACACAGTATTTTTAGTGAATTCTGTAATGTACATAAATCTACTAGCAAATTTTTGAGTCATAAGCATTTTGGAAGTGTCATTTCATCTAACCCTCCTAACACTATCATCTCTAGACATGGAAATGATTATCCTTTGCTACACTTCCAGGAGGTGTGCAGCAGGCAGAATTCAGGCAGGCTACCACAGCTTGCCACAGATTAATTGGGTGATCTTGAGCATGCCATTTGTCTGCAGTTTAGTTTCCTTATCTATAAACTGTGGAGAGGGGCGGAGTGGATCATTTAGGGAGGCTGCACACTTTAATCTTCCTCTTTCTTAGTGTTTGTCAAGTTCTCTTTCCACCCAAGACAACTGGAGGCATATTCCATTCCTTCTCTGACTTAAAAACATTCCTGTTCACCTGGACCTTCCTGGTTGACCTAAGGTGACTATGATTCTTGTGGCAAGAAGGGAGCTCCCCCACCTCCCGTGCCCAAGAGCAGTGCTACATTTTTATTTGAGTTTCCTCTGTTTTCTTTAGGTAGTCCAGCTTTAGCTTCTTGATGCTTCTTTGAAAGAAAGGAAACTTGTCTGGGCACTCGATTTTAATTTTCTCTCTTCTTTGTTCTTAGGCATGTTGTAGAAAGCTCCCCTCTCCCAAGGAAACTACTATATATTTCCATAATTTTCCTTCTCTCCATCTCTAAGAAATGCTAAGAAAATAACTGTCAACCTTTTTTTGCATATATAAATTTTAACAGCCCATACATGTCAACTAATCTTTTATCCTGGAAGGGAAGACTTATTTCAAGTGATTGAAAGTTGAAATGCTTAGGTTTTCATTCTTGTGGTATAATGAAATCACTGTGTGGACATGCTGCCTCCTGATTGGTTTAATCAATTCCGTTCTTCAACTCCACTAATTCTAGTAAATACTTACTCTGGGCTCCTTTTTTTTCACCCCAGGGAGGGTAAGGCAAATGTTCAACCATAGTCAAGGAGATAGAGTATTACAAGTGTCTTAAGAGGGGTGCAAAATACTAAGACAGTTTAAATATTTGCTTTGCAGTAAATCAGGGGAAGTTCTGCAAAAGAGTTGCCTTTTAGGATGAACCTTGAAAGAAATGTAGGGTTTCAAGAAACAGAGAAGACAGAAAGGATGTTTTGGAAGAAGGGATTTAAGGAGGAGTTGGAAGCAGCCCGTGGCATGGTTTGAGGATTACACATGGATTTCAGGGATTATGTAAGGATGGAAGGCAGTTTGGCAAATTCCTGGTTGAATGTCACATTTCCAAGCCTCTACCCATGGAAAGACAGAATTAATCAATCACAGTCCACACCTGTCCAAGCAACCTCAAAAGTTGACTCATGAGATGAGATGGATTTGCCAACTCTCGTGCAGGAGTGCAACGACAAGTGAGGTAGAGCCTTGAATACGTGTTGACTAGTTAGTAGCTAATTGGATAGGCAATGGGGAGCCATTAAAGTCTTGTAAGCAGGGGGGTGACTTGGTGGGAAATGAGAGCTATAGTTCAGGGTAATTAACTTGGCAGTGTTATCTGGGATGGATTCGAATGGTTCTAGGACAAAAGACCAGTTATTTGCAAGGTTACACATGGTTTTGGAGAGCGGTACTGTCAGGAACTGGAGTGGTGGCCGCAGAAGGAGGGGCAGATGTCACAGAGGTAGAATTTACAGCACTTGGCAGGCAAGTATGTTAGAAAGTGGAGACCTAGGGGCCAGAGTGAGAGAAGTCAAAGCTAACTCTGACTTACCTTGCAGTAACTAGAAAGAAGTAATACCAGCAAAGGGGAGCCTGTGATAGGTAAGGAGGTAGGAAGAATCCTGTTAAGTTTGGGACAGGATGGAGGAGTGATGAAAACTGTATTTAGGTTATCTTTCCATAGATCAATGTTCTCGAAAGCCAGCTTCTGTCAGAGAACTCAGTAGTGCAAAGTGAAATAACCATATTTAAGCAAACACTATTGTGTTTGTCAATGAGCAATCTAAGGAAAGCTTCCATCTTTCCAAATATTTGGAAAATTGTAAAACTTTAATTAGTAATCAAGGAAGGGGCATGAAGGAAGAAAGAAGTCTAAACCTAGCCATTGTGCTTTTTAGGTTTCAAATGCTTCCTCAATCCAGGTAATTTACACTTTAGTAACAATGATTGACAGTCAAGGAATGTATCTAACTCACTTTTATTTTTCCCTTGGGGAAAGCACTTGAGTTCCCAATTGTTTTAAATTGCAGAAGCAGTAATTGTTTTAGTGAGTGAGGAGAAATGGCTTTTTGGAACTGGAATCTATTGCTAAAGGTAATGCAAACTCTATCTTAATTGACTAAGATCACCAGGGCCATTTTCAGGAAGGTCTAAACAGGGTGAGCAAATAGCATTTTGCTCCTTAGTCAAAGGAGCAAAGTAAAGGAACCAGTTGAAAGGCCAGGGAATAGATTAATTTTAAAAATGTTAACAAGTTATTACTAATCCCAAAAAAGGAGTCAGGGATATTTCTGAAGCAATTTGTATCCCAAGAAGAATTACTGGTGAAATTTCCTGTGAAATGTAATTTTTAATATTCAAAAACAAATATGGGGTAGTAGTAGGTGTATTTTAAGATCTTCTCTGTCCCAGAAGAGTCTGTTTATTAAACTCTGCACTGTGACATATTAGTTTACTTAGAAAAGTCAAGTGTGATGAACTATGTCAGTTGCATTAAGGGTTAGTTAATAGACTAACTAACCACTTGAAAATGTTGTTAACGCTGCTCTGGAAACTGTGCTTTGATGTATGGGGAAACCCATACATTTTATTTGGGATGGAGGAGACAACCATAACATTGTCCGTAGGTGCCAATAGATAGGCTAAAGCCAGAGAGCCTTGCAGAGACTGGATTAAGGTATCAGAACTGTTAAACATCTTATTTGCATCACTTGAAAAAGTGGACTACAGGTTCTGCTGATTAACACACACACCATAGCAAACAACATTGTGTATTTGAAATCAACCAAGATCAGTAACAGTAATGCAAACCATATGTGAAGTTTGGCATATGGAGTTTCCTCTGAAGTTATTCTCTAACTAACCCCCCACCACCTTATTTTTAAAGAGCATTTTCCAAACCAGGAAGTTAGCAAAAGCAAAATGTTCCCCAATTCCCTCCCCACTCCACCCTATAAAGACACATATTTATGCCACCTTCTGGTATGTAATAATATTTTTTATTGTCAAAATTTGTGAGCCTTCTGAAAGGAAGATGGGGGTGTGTTAAAAATGTCAGGCTACTACCATCTGAGTGTTTGCTGCCCATTTAACTTAATATTGTTCCTTCATACTGGAGTTTGGGGTCAAGGTAGTACTGTACAATCCCCTACTTTTCTTAGGTTTCAATAAGTATCTACTAGTGATAGGGTGTTTCAGCAGAAGGGTTGTAGAATGATACCCACACTGATGTGACTTTTTAACTGATGGTTAATTTTCTGAATTTTATCATGCATTATTAATACCTTGCATTTATCATGCATTATTAATACATTATTAATACCTTGCCAATATATGTATGTTTGTTTTTTGACGAGACCGAACAGTCAGTAGCAAAAGCACCAATGGGGATTGACAATTAGCAGCCAAACATGAAATAGAGGCAGTGTGGCATATTTCACTCGGCCCAGAGACCCATCAACCCAACAGGCCAAAGTTTCCTTCAGTGCAAAGTGCCCTGCCAAACGGTTTCTGGATCCTTCCAAGAGGAAAGAGCAAAGGAGCTGAAAATGACTTCTTTAAACACATCAGATATTGGCTTTTCTAGCCATTCCAGACGAACACAATCTGTTTTAGACACAAATGTGCTCTGTAACCAAGACTGGAAACCCACTGGACGTCCCATTCCGAAGTCAAAAGTGCCACGTCCTCCCATCCTCCGCCTTCCTTGGGGTGTCAACTATGTCTAATTCCTTTTTAGTTTCTCAGTCCTTGGCTGGCAGGAGCTACCTTTGTATGATTTCCCCATGGGTAATCGGATTCGCCTCTGCCCAGGTTGGCTGTGGCTGGGGACGAGTTCTGTTCCTGAGAGAGTCTCAGAAGTAGGCACCGAATCATTTCGCAGATCTTAATTTCTGTCCCTGGGCTGGAAAGGGGAAGACTGGGGCATCGGAAGCTCTCCCCTCCTCCTTTCCTCTTTTCCCCACCTCCCAAAATTGGCAGCCAGTCTGTGGCTCTCGGTCTGGGGTCTGGAGGGTGGGGAATGTGGGTGTGGGGGCCGGCTGGAGAAGCTCTCGCTAGCGCTGCCTGTGGCCAGACCCGCCTCCCATCCCCTCTCGGGCGCACACACACGTCCACCCAGACACACTCCGCGCGCTCCCTCGCGCTCTCTCTCGCCCGCCGCCGCCTGCTCTCTCTCTCTCTCCCTCCTGCTCTCCCCGGCCTCCTTCTCCTTTTTTTTTTTTTTTTGGTACCATAGAGTTGCTCTGAAAACAGAAGATAGAGGGAGTCTCAGAGCTCGCCATCTCCAGCGATCTCTACATTGGGAAAAAACATGGAGTCAGCTCCGGCAGCCCCCGACCCCGCCGCCAGCGAGCCGGGCAGCAGCGGCGCGGACGCCGCAGCCGGCTCCAGGGAGACCCCGCTGAACCAGGAATCCGCCCGCAAGAGCGAGCCGCCCGCTCCGGTGCGCAGACAGAGCTATTCCAGCACCAGCAGAGGTAGGAGGCTGGGAGAGGGGCTGAGGAGGGGGCGGCGGGAGCCCCGGCGCGGAGCGGGGGCTGGCCGGGAGCGGGCGCCCGGGGCGCGGGGTCCGGGGCCGCGCGCGAGCCTGCAGCGGGTCCCTGAGTCCGGAGCAACCCCTGCCCCTCCCCCCTCCGCCCCCCAGAAATGTTGCAAACTTTTGCAGCCGGTTCTCGGGTTGCGGGAGTAAAGGGGGGCGGGGAAGGCGGCAGGAGGGTTGACAGCCGGCGGGCTCACCCCCTGGCTTTGATTTTCCTGCAAAAGAGGAGGAAAACCGTATTGCCGAATTTAAATGCGCCCCCCCAAAATACGGAGGACCGGCGAGTGGGGGCCAGGGAAAGAAACTTTTAAAGCGGCAGTGTCCTTTTAAGAAGGGGGGGGATCTGTTTATGGCTACCCTCCTCCCCCTTTACCTTTTCTCCTCTTGACAGTTTCGGCCAGGGCTGCTCGAATCGGGGTGTATTGGACCCCCTGTGGAGCTTGAGGGTGGAGGGAGGAGGGAGCGATAGGGGAAGCCCGGGATGGGAAAGGGGCGCTCCAGGATCTGGGGGCGACGTGGGCAGGGCACCTTCTCTGGAACACGGCGGTGTTTGGGATTTGGAGGAAGAGCTGGAGAAAGCGCGGTGCTGGTGCGTGAGGTGTTCGCCAAGTTGTCTGGCGGGCTCGGTGAGGGGAGGTGTGCAAGTTTGTAGCCCTGGGGTTCGCAGCCCAGCGCCCAGGCTGGCGGGGGGCGTGTGCGCACCGGCGCGCAGGGCGGCGGTCCTGCAGGGCGCTCCACGCGCATTCGGAGTGAGCGTCTATAAAAGCAAACAAGCTGAAAAAGAAAGATCGAAAGGCACCCAAACTTATTTCATCCCAGGGAATCTTTCCCCCTCTGAGGTTTCAAGCATTTCTGCACAAATCTGGGGATGGTCAGTGCTAGTTGGATGTTGTTGGATCCTGCGAACCCTGTTCCCCTCTCCCAGGGCGATTTTTCACACTTCATTTTGTTCGGGGGTGGGGGCGGCAAGAGGTCGGGGGAGCTCCATTGCCCCTTCCTTGCTTTTTCCTAGTTAAAGTGGAGTGTGAGGGAAAGATCACTCTCCTTCTTTCCTTAAAGGGTCGGAATCTGATGTGGGATTTTTCTTGGGATGGAGGAATATGTATATTCGCCTGGAGTTTGCAAAGAACTGGAGGAAGCTACGACTTTAATTACTGTTGTAAATAATGTATAAATCACGCCTGTCACTCTGGAGGAAATGGGCTTGCTCTACCCGCCCTGGGCTGGGGACAGAGAGGCTGTCCAGTCCGGGCTTGGGCTCTGGCCCAGCGTGCCCCCCTCCTTTGCCACTGGGCTTCTGGCAGCGATTGGGAAGGACTGGGACAGGTGAAGGGGGTGTCCCGGGAACCGTTCCCTTCCTTTCGATGTTGTAGTTGGTAGGAATATGGCTGATCGTGTGCCGGCTGTTTTACAGTATCCCCCAACCCCCACCCCCACCTTAGCCACACCCCCTGTCCGGGCGCTTTCCCATTCACGGAATTCGAGTACAGTAAAAGCCATCAGGATGACACACGCGAGAAAAACATTTAATTAAAGGCGATTTCTGAAGAGTGAACACGCAGAACCTCGGTTTGGTGGGAGGGGGCAGCGAGGGCCAAGAGTAGAAGGAAGGGTATCAGGATTGGGGGCCGGGACCTGCCGCTAGCTGGGTGAGTTTGTGTGTGGAGAGCTTTTGGCTGCAAGAGTATATTTAGACCCTGAGACGGTGGATTTGGAATGCAAGCGGGTTATGTAACAGGGTTAATCAGAAACACTGGAGAAAATCCCCTTCATGTGTTTCTGAGGCTTTTGGGGGAGTGTTGTGGGGGGGGCCCACATAGTATATAAGAAGCATTACTAATTTCTGAATTGTGCTGCCACCCCCCTCTTTTCTAACCCCCCTCCTTTCTTGTGTTATTAGCATCTTCAGGTGTCATTTTTGCCAGAAGGTGTTCCTGCAAGAGATCAGGGTGGCAGGCTGCAGAACCAACTAGCAAATCGTAACTTGCTGTTCTTGCAAATTATATAACCACTGGGGCATTCAGTCCCACCAGCCCTCTAGGCTCAGCAAGAGGGGGAGAGGCACAAAGTAGGAGTGGGATGCATCTTGCACAGCTGACCTGCTGACCTATATCCCCTTATCCCCCTAGAGGATCACCCCCTACTCACTCTTCTCCGGACCAACCCCTTGTCTATCCCTCCTTCTTTTTGGAGCTTTAATGGGGGAGGGAGAAGAGGTGAGGCCCAAACACTCAACTCACATCCTGCACGCAGGCACTAGGTTATATAACAGTCTGAATGGAAAAAGGAAGGTCAGAGATGGAGGCATCCTTTAGCTAACACAGCAGTAGTAATAGCTTCCAGAAATTATGTGCATTTGCAGACTTTAACCTCAGATGTAGCATCTGCTCTTCAGGGGTACCAATCTTTGTGTGAGCTAGGGAGAAAACGAATGTGTAACTATGCCTGGTAGATGAGTGATTTGAAAATGGGAAATGTTTGGGTTTTCAGATGATGTAATGGAGTTGGCAGAATATGCAAGTCGGCTCCCAGAGTGTAAGCAGCAAGAAAATTGGAGCTGGCATCCAGTATTAATGTTGCATAAATTACAATATCGGAAAGAAATTAACCTACACACTAGGTGATTATGCCTTTTTAATACTTAAAATATAAAGGCACACAACTCAAAAGGAAAAACAAACATCATCACCTTACAATTAGCATTTTCAAACCCAAGGACACTTGTGTGGAGTTCTTGGCATTGGGTGAAATGGGGCGCTTTCTGATTTGGGAGCTGCTTTCCAGAGAGCCAGCAGGGTTAGCTTCCAGATAGCCAGTTTTTGAAGGGGCCAGAAACTGTGTGCTGGATTCTTCTGACATTGAAGTGACCTCATGAGGCATCATTTAGGTAGACTGGAGACTTGCTGATTTCCATCCTCCTGGGAATGCTCCTGTGAATGGGCTGTACCCTGCTAGTGCCTGAGTTTCCAAAACCAGATGTGTGACTTTGTAATCTCAAAGGCACCCTCCCCTTAGCCTGAAAACTAGGCGGAGCACGTTAGCAGTTTTAATGAAACTGTTCCATTTTCTAGGTGGTATTAATGATGTCTGTCTGGTGTCACTCAGGCCCATCTTTACAGCACAGTGAAAGAGGGGAAAGACAGGCAAGAGGCAACATTGGAAGTAAGAATGAAGCGGAAAAAACCACAGCGAATCTTTAATTTAACAAGGCTTTCAGGGACTTCAGGGAGCCATGAACATTGTGACATAACTGTTGTTAAAAACCCTTTTCCAGAACCTCGTTATTATATGCATGCCAGAAGCTTACATATTTTACTTCACTAAAGTTATCCTCACAGGGCGGGGTGCCGCACAGTCAGTTTGGAACACCACTGCTGAGGGTGAAGGCTTTTAGGGCAGGCCAACCAAAGGGAAAAATCGAAACCAGAAAGATGGGATTAACACTGAAAAAAGGCTCACTTGGGTTGAGATCGAACCCCCTCTGGAAGCTTGGCTTAGATTGACTTAAAATCAGTTAACAAGCCCTGTAGTTTATTTGTAGCCCTGAGGACTTCTAGAACCACATAAGTCTTTGACTTTGAAAGTGCTTTGCCTCTAGACCCCACTTCAATCTTGGCTGATTCACTTTCTGCTCGGTGCTCTTGCCGGGCAATTTAGTGCCCTTTCTAGAGACTGATTCTCAGATCAACTTTTCTTATGTGGACTCAGCTCTTCAAAGCGAACAAATGATGCCCCGTAGTTTGAAAGAACTACTGGCTGGGATAAAATTCTTTGCCAGGGGGATGGAATAATTATGTTTTAAACTAAGGGACTTTTAATTTTCCAGTAAATTGCTCATAAAAACATTTATAATTATACCCTTTAAAAAATGTAATAGAATAATTTTAGAAAATGCATTTAATGATAGTTATGATAACCTTTTCTGTTACGTCCCCTTTATTTCTTAAAAAGAATTGAATTATTAATCCAGAAGTTGAATCTTGAGTGGCTAAAATCACTTGTACGCAGACTTTTTATGTTATCACCTGCTGGAATTTTCCAAAACCTACTGGCATTAGAAGGAGCCCTTGGCTTTAAATGATGTCTCTGTGAAATTGATGCATGGCGCCTGCATGGAAGGCCCTTAATGATGAGACCCTAAAGTGGGTGCTTTTAAGGAAGCAGAGGTGGGAGCTCAGTATATACTGCTTCTTCCACAGTAGACTTCTGAATGGGATGTAGGGAGGTCGGGAACGGTCCATGGCAATAGTTATACCTCCAGATAAATGTTCTGAGGAATTCTGGTGACAGCTGAATTGCTTGTGGAAGCAAACCTTTGGATAGCCAGTGGGATAAGCCTGTGGCTTCTTCTCCTCGAGTACACCCTTGCCCCTTCTGAGTTAAGATGCATGTTTTTCTCCCATTTTTGCCTTTAGGAAATTGTGGTGTGATGTTGGAGGGACAGACTGAGTTGGATGGCAATGAAATTTCTATCCATGTGGTGTCAGCTCTTAAAGCATAGGTTACTCTCCGTCTCTTCTCCTTCCCCACCCCAGCTGCCTTTATCGCTGTACCGTCCCCATCTACTTGATGAATTGTACTTCTTTTTTTTTTTTTAAAGATTTATTTATTTATTCATACAGAACTGGGGTACAGGCCAGAGATGCGGAGGGTGAGAGGATTCGCCAGAGACAGAGCGGGAATCAGAACAGGCAGATCGATGAAGTACACTGCCGAGGGGAGCAGTGGGCGGGTCAGGAGAGGTCTGCCACGCCATGTGGTCACCTCCGGGGCAGGCAGGCGGGGATCGAACTCATGCGGAAGTGGCTTTAGTTTCTCAGTGCAGTGCTTTAACCCGCTGCGCCACCAGGGAGGGCCCTGAATTGTACTTCTTAGTTTATAAATATACTTGTGTGTGTGTCTGTAGAAGCAAAATCTATAACTACATTTTAGTAGTCT